ATATATTCCAATTTTGTAAAGCATTATTGTACACAGGATTGAATCACATGTTAAACATTCAAAGATTTCTTCTCCTCCTGCTCAAAATGTTCAAAAGACTATTCTACATTTTAACAGAATCTTCACCTAGGAGGACTATATCTTCTACGGATGTCTAAGTTAACAAGACTCATACAGTATGAATACAATAAATGAACCCTAGAAACACAGTATTGTTTTATTTTAATCCCTTTAAGTTCCCAGTGCTGGAACATACGGCTTCAAGCCAGAGACGCTTGAAGTTTCGGCAGCAGTGAGGTGTTCACTTTTACGGGATGGAGTTGCTAGCTAGCCTCATGCCTAGCCAACCTTCCCTCTTTACCAGTCTTATTACTGACTTAGCGCGAGGCAAAGGAGTGGGTCGGTGGCGCCGGAGATCGAACCCCGGACTACATGAGGCGTGGTCGGTGAGCATTCTACCGCTGTGCCACCGATGCAATATTATTTAAGCTATTTATTCTCTAGTGGGAATGACAAATCAAGCAATGAACTCATAGTGTAGTATTGTTATTATTATTCACTTAAGTTCCTAGAGGAACATAGGGCTTCAACCAGACATCTCCATTGCTTTCGGTTCTCCGCCAACCTTTTTGCATCACCCGGCTCCACGTCTGCTAACATGCTTTCATCTCCTCTTCTCTACATGACCTCCTCCTCCATGTCACCCTCGCACTGAAGACCAACTCACCGCTTCCGATTCTGTTGGGATTCCACTCGAGCGATGGCCTGGCGTGTGAGGTCACTCATTTGATGGTTTGTTCTCTTAGAGTATGGTGGCCAATCCACTTCCATTTATTCCTGCATATCTGTTGCACAATTGCTTCCTGCTGGGTTGGTACATCGTTCCCAGAAATCCCTCACGATTGCTGATCTTTTCTGGCTGGCCATCTGATCTTTAGCGAAGACAGCTGTTGATGAAGGTGTGTAGTTTGTTCGAAGTGGCCTTCGTGACGCGGTGCGGCGCCACGTCTCTGATCCATATAGTGAATATCACTGACTTCACATTGGATTTGAAAATCCGGATCTTATTTTTCATGCTCAGTGCTGAGTGTTGTCGACCTCCACACAGAGTTGAGAGTAATGAAAGCTTGTCTAGTTTTCCCAATCCTCCCTGCTTTGATGCTAGCCTCATCAGTTCGGTTGGTCTGTAGTTGAAACGATGCTTCCCAGGTAGGTACATAGTGTACATACAACGCGTGCTTCTAAATCAATAAATAAATGAGGTTTAGGCAAATTAAAACCATTTTTTGTTGTTGTTGAAAACTGGAAAATGGTTTAATTTAGCTAAATTTTCTGTAAAGTTAAAAAAAAATATACAAAACTCGAAAGAGGTCAATCATACAAGGATGTTTGTTATTCAACCTTAACATATATATGTCTGGTGAAGTTAATATTGTGAACTTGAAGATTGACAGGTTATCTGTACACATGTAATTTTTTTATTGTTGGTCTTCCTCCCTATTTGTGAATAAAAATTTAGGTTAAAACAAAAACCTTAATTAATTTTACAGACTTTAAAATAATTAATGTTAATAAAGGTAGGTGTGTTTGTGTGTGTGTGTGTGTGTGTGTGTGATTGTTCTGTGGAAGAAGACTTGTTAATCACACACCCCATGTGCACACACACAGGATCTCGGTTCGATTCCTGTTCGATGAACGTACTGCTATACCTCTCCTCCTTGTTTATGCATGCATTCCCCTTGATGAATTTGAATAAAGCAAGAACAACAGTGGAGGTTTGTTCAGAATAATGTGTATGCTAGCATCATTGTTTATTTCGTTGGCTTCTCATCAGCTCAACTGCTTACAGCCTAAATAAATTATGAGGTAGGTTTATGTACAGAAAAGTTTCAAGACTTAGTGAACAGTGCTCAGAAAATTACGCTTATATAGTTGTTACACAGGCAATTTCAGTTTAAACAAAATAAATGTATGCATACAATGGTAAAGGAGTTATGTAATAAAGACGAGAGATGCGTAAGATTCTGAGTGACTAATAAATTAGGTAGCAACGTACTGAGTTCAACTCAAATCATAGAAAGAAGAGACAAGCAATATTACAGATTATAAAAAGAGGGGTGAGGTTAAAGACGTGAGCTGTCAAATGAGCTCAACAGTTCACTTAGTCTTCCTTTATGGCTGTGAGTGAGAGATGGCCATTGAAAGTCGAAGAAGACATGAAAAAAGCAGCTAGCTGTCCTTGATCATAGGTGGCTGCGTTCTATCTCCCGTGTGAAGTGGTATGATACGGTAAATAATATTGAGGTGAGACATTGGTCGACTGCCAGGTTAAGAGGGGAAATCAATCGACGAGGCTGTGAAGCTACATCGACTGAGATGGTTAGGACATGCGTGTTAGGCATGACTAGCCACTGCCTTCCTTGAAAGGCAATGCTAGGCGACACAGAAAAATAGCTAGTGGTGGTCAAACCAAAACATGGCTTCAACAGTCGATAAAATCCATAACAGCTAAGTCAATCCAACCATGCAGGGAGCTGTAGACTGCTGTCTGGTTGGGGTTCGCAGGATGGTAAGAATCAATACCAATGTCTGGAGACAATTGGTGATGTGGCTCAAAACGCTCCTACTCAATTATGTCGTTGGTGTGCTCACTCTTTATGATTTGTCATAGTTTTATTTATTTAATTAAATGCAGAAAAACTTGGTACAATATGGCGCCGAGACGATGCACCACACAATAATAATAAAACAACATAGATTAAAACTTCAAAAATATAGGCGGAGAACGGATAAAGAACTTCATCAGGAAGGAAAACAGTCATGTTTAACAAGTTCTAACAGTATTCGTTAACTATCATCAGGAAGGGAAGAAAGAAGGAAATTGCAACACGTTCGCCATCGATTACGATTCTCTGCCATACCCGATAACGTTTCGAGCCATCGATTCGGGCTATCTCGCGGACCCCAACCAAGGAGTCGTGACATACCAACCGATGCTAGTCTAGCACAAATATCCTTCATCCCACGACGCCACGTCATGGACTGACCACCCCTCTGCCTTTTCCATCCCGTCCCAGGGCTAGCGAACAGAGACCTGTATGGAAGCCTCTGGGATGACATTCCCAGCACATGTTCAAGCCACCGGAGCCGGTGTTTCCAGATGACGACACTCAATGAATGGTGATCTCCACTGTGTTCAAACACCCGTCACCTAACCTCATAATTACTCACGCGATGATGCCATCGAACGCAAGCAATCCTGCGGAGACAGCGGTGATCGAACACGCAGAGTCGCCTCACATCCTCAGCTCGGAGAGGCCAGGTTTCAAAGGCGTAGAGCAAGACAGCCCGCACCGAAGCATTGTATACCCGACCTTTGACAGCCAGGCTAACGTCGCGACGGCGCCAGAGGTGGCACAAGTTGATGTATGCCACCCTAGCCTTCATTATACCGTTGGAGATCTCATCCGTCACCCCTCCGCCAGCACTCACACAACTACCTAGGTACACAAACTTATCAACAACTTCAAGCGGTTCACCGGGAAGAGTGAGTGCAGGTACAGGCTCCTGCCAATCTTGTAACAGTACTTTGCACTTAGACGATGCAAAGCACATACCATACTTACAGACACTGATCGCCAACTGATTAAGTGCGATTTGGGCAGCCTGCATGCTATCGCACAGTAAGACGTTATCGTCTGCATACTCAAGGTCGAAAAGTCTATCTCCAGGTAGCAGATCTACACCACCTTCACGCACATCCTTCGGAGCTGACTGCAGAATGTCATCGATGGCAAAGTTAAAGAGAAATGGCGAGATTGGGCAACCCTGTCTAACCCCACTGTTGGTTGGGAACAGTTATGATAGTTGGTTGTATGCCCTCACTCTACCTGGATGAATGAATTAGTGTTATTAACAACACTAATGCTGTTTAAATAACATCGAGTCAATGATAATAATATCAGTGGATTACAGTTCGATAGCATCAACATAACACTACACACTGAATATCAGAAAAATTAGGAAGGATAATTCAATTCATGAATTTATAGTCTCCACTGAAGGCCTTGTAGGGCATGAGTATTGGCTGGACTTGCTTCTTTTGCACGCAAAACACTGATTGTTTCACGCGAATTCCGATAGCATCTGCTGTTTAAAGCATGCAGTACTTCGATGTTTTTGGCAATTTATTTGGCACCCAGTAGATGGTGATAGATAAGGATTCTTCAATGCTAGCCTGCTGTGTGACAGTTTGGACTAGATGGTCGAACTGTTACAACACCTTTACTTAGCTATACAGGGGGAGATGTTGTCGAGTGAGCACGAAAAATCAAGTTCCTAGAGCAACAACCAATATAAGTCGCTCCACCGCAAGTGCAGTTCGAATGGTTGTTTTTCCCTTCACCCTGCCATGTCAAGAGAACATTAGACTCAATACTCTATAAAGCATGCTAAGATTTCTATACTGTATCGACAATATTGTCACAAATGCTGAGAATTCATTCCATGCTATACTATAAGTACTGTTTGTGGAATAAAGCAGATCATTTTGTATTGTTAATTGGTGGATGGTGACTAGCAGCACAATCCAGGATAACGCTCATTTCGTCCTATTTGGGACTCGTCACCTGGATGCACATGCATTCCTCTGTGAGTGAGTGAGTGATGATGTTCCCACTGAGGCTCGAACATTCAGATGACGAGTCTTGAACAGGACGAAATGCGCGTTATCCTGCATTCCACTGCTAGTCACCATCCACCAAATTAACCTCTAATTACACATGCCCAGACATCGTGGAAGCATCTGAAGCACAAGAAGCCAACAGACATGTCAACCTGAGACCGAGCACTTCGGTGCAATCAATCGATGGGAAAATCTAAAATTCAATTAAATCATTATTAGTAGTAGTAAAAAGGAATTCTTTTTTACCTTTTATATATTGTGTCAATCATGTTGTATAGTTAGTTCATTTTCCTTTCTCTCTGCCCCCTTTTTTTAGCTGTTAATACGGACTATTTCACGTTCAATACCTGGCCTGTTAAGATTCTGTGTTTGTGCTCTCATCCTGTTCTTCGCTTTCAGTCTATGCGGTTGGGTTGTACTTGGACCGTATAACTTGAAATTTCGTACATTTATGTCGACCGTGGAATGTTTATACAGTTTAATCAATGGAGATGATATGTTTGTTACATTTACAATAATTAATGAAAATGATCCAATGGGGATTTATCTATTTAGTCGATTGTTTCTTTATCTTTTTATAACACTGTTTATTTATGTTGTCTTGAATTTATTTGTAACAATTATATTTGAAGCATATGAAGAAGTGAAGGTGAGTAATTTGTAGGTCTAGTCTTAATATTGTTATTATGATTATTATTTATTATTATAATATTATTATTGTTTCCTTTAATTCCTAGAGGTGGAGCATAGGGCTTCAGCCGTGCGTCTCCATTGCGTTCGGTTTTCTGCTAGAGTCTTCACCTGACTCCATGTCTGCCCACACGCTTTCATCTCCTCTCCACATGACCCCCTCCAAGTTACCCTTGCACTGACGACCAACTCGCCGCTTCCCTTTCTATTGGGGTTCCAGTCGAGCAATGGCTTGTCTAGTGATGTCACTTGATGGTTTCCTCAGAGTATTGTGGGCAATCCATCTCCATTTCTTCCTGCCTATTTGTTTCACAATCGGTTTGCTCCCAGAGATCCCTTTTGCTGATCTTTTCTGGCCCTCTGATCTTGAGTATTTAGTGAAGACAACCGGCTGTTAATGAAGGTCTGTAGTTTGTTTGAGATGCTCTTTATGACGCGCAGTGCAAGTCTCTGATCCATATAGTGAGTAGCACTGACTGACTTCACATTGGAGTTGAAAATCCGGATCTTATTTTTGATGGTGAGTGCTGTAGACCTCCACACAGACATGAGAGTAGTGAAAGCTTGTCTTGCTTTCCCGATTCTTGCTTTGATATCCTGGTCAGTTCCGCCAGCCTGTAGTTGAGACGATGCTTCTCATGTCGGTAGGTAGAAGAGGTTGTTTCTTTCAGGTTCCTCCCATTTATTAATATTATTATTATTATTATGTGTTTATTATTAGACCCTAAGGTTATGCGTGAAACATTATGTGAGGCCTGATGACGATATATACTATCGAGTTAATTAGTTCTCCAGGTCAGATTGAAGTGGTAGGTAGGTAGGTAGAGAGAGAGAGTGTGGGTTGGGATTCGAACTTGAGACCTGCACCTACCCAGCTGATTGATGACTAAAAGTTGAATTGCCTAAGGCTAAACGAAGATAGATTGGATGCACTCTGAGTAGGGTGTTGAGTAACACCATAATGTGACCAGATAGACGTAGAATGGGAAACGGTGTGTGTACAGCATGAGTCAGAGTGTAATATGGAGAAATTTTTTTCATCAAGAGAAAACAAGGAAACTTGGAGTCAGCTAGAAAAAAAGTATGTAGAGAACCGAATGAAATGATGATGATGTACTGTTCGAGTCCCGTGTTTCATTCAGAATACAAGGGGATAATAATGATAATACAAATACTAATTGGCATATATCAACTTGACCGAAATGTCGGTGGTATTATTATATATTGTTTCATTTAATTCCTAGAGGTGGAGCATAGGGCTTCAGCCGGACGTCCCCATTGCGTTCGGTTCTTTGTGAACATTTTCATCACCTGGCTCCACGTCTGCCCACATGCCCTCATCTCCTCTTCTCTGAATGACCCCCTCTTCCATTTTGCCTGAACACTGACGCCCAAGTCGCCGGATTCCCATTCCGCTGTGACTCCACCCAAGCGATAGTCTGACGTGTGATGCCACTCACTTGATGGTTTGTTGTCTCAAAGTATGGTGGCCAATCCACCTCCATTTCTTCCTGCATATTTGTTGCACATTTGGTTCCTGCTGGGTTGGTTTGTTCATTTCCAGAGATCCCTGTTGCTGATCTTTTCTGGATGGCCATCTGATCTTCAGCGAAGTACTGGGCTAAGACAGTTGTTGATGAAGGTGTGTAGTTTGTTCGAAGTGGCCTTCGTGAAGCGGCGCAGCGCCAAGTCTCTGATCCGTATAGTGAGTAGCACTGACTTCACATAGGAGTTGAAAATCTGGATGCTATCTTTCATGCTGAGTAGTGCTGTTGACCTCCACACAGAGTTGAGAGTAATGAAAGCTTGTCTTGCTTTTCCGATCCTCGATGGTATTAAATGGCTAATAATGACTATGTATTCTACCTCCATAAATGAACTGGTACAGCTGAGGGTGGGTAGACTACAGTCTTTCTAGAGTTGGTTTGCATGACTTTGATTGGTTTCAAGATTTCATCATCATCAACTGACATCGGTCAGAGAACCTTTGGAAAACCATAGAGCACTTGGACAGCTGTCCAAGGGTGTGACAGCTGGTAGTGACAGATACTCCCCAGTTTATGTTAGATGATTGGAGGCAATCAGCAGAAAGCGCTGTGTTGCTGTCTGATCTAGACTTCGTGCTTTTAGGCGCTTGTGTCACACACACACACACACACAACAAGGCGTATCGGCTATCTCTTAGGGGAACTCATCTGCCGTCTGAGATATTCGAACCTACGTCACTCTGACTGACTGACTGGTTTCAACGTGCGTAAGGCAGTTCGAGTCGGCACACTTCACACGTAGCATACAAAGCAAGAGAAGAAACTTAAAGGAGATTCAAATCCTAGAAAGATATGAGGCAAAAAGAATAGTGATATGGAAAGACAATATAGTTTTATTGGACATATCAAGTCACAAGGGGTGCATACATCTGCGCCAGTCAGCCATTGAGAACAATCACTTTGAGCCAGCCATATCACACCAATTGTCTCCAGCCTTCACTGGTTTTTACCGTACCGAGAAACCCAACCAGGAGATCTACACCTTCCTACGTGGCATAAACTAACTCTTGTGGATTTCATTGATTGATGAAGCCATGTTTTGGTTTGACTACCATGTGTTAGCTCTTTTTCAACCTGATCGATGCTGTATCACCTAACAATACCCACTGTCGAGGAAGGCATACAGGCGTAACACATGTCCTGACCATCTCAATCTATGCATCTGCTCGTCGACTAATTTCGCACTCCATTGAGGCATAAACTTAATACTACTCACCCTATTATAACACCACGTATTACGGGAGATAGGACGCAGGCACCCGTGATCAAAGACAGCCAGCCTTTTCATGTCTTCAGCTTTCAATGGCCAGATCTCAGAGGCACAAAGCCACTGCTGAGCAATATACAAGTCCTTCAATCAACAGCCAGCTGGAATTCACATCTATGCCAGAGACGGTGTAATTTGGCTTATGCGAAACATGCCTTCTGTACCCATGCCGAGATTTTGTCAGCTATCAACTTGCTGGCGCTGGCTAGTACAACTTCTTAAATAAGTGAAGTGGTCAACATGTCCTACCACTTTACTCCCTATTCCTGTGCTAGGAGTAGTCGATGTAGTCCAGTCGTGTGGCCTCATCATTTTACATTTGGCGGGAGCGAATCACATGCCAAACCATCGAAGATTACTGCTTCTTAGTTGAAGGTTTTCAGAAGACTGCATTATTTCAGCGTCCGCACCTAGAAGAACTATGTCATCACCTGCATATCCTAAGTCAACGAGATTATTCCCTGGTAGCAAGTCAATCCCCGAGTCTCTGAAGTGAGTTAGGGTTAAATCCATTAGTACATCTGTGATGAAATTGAATGGAAATGAGGACAGTGGGCATCCCTAACGGACACGACTTCAGATGACAACTCTGCGTAGGCTGTCACCTGGCTGTCGACTACATGATTTCGAGTAGAGTGAGTGCCTTGATCAGTGCAATGTATTTCCTCGGCATTCAATTCACAGCTAAACATCACCATAGTCCCTCTGGGTCGACAAAATCGAATGCCGCCTTTAGGTCAAGAAATATAACGATTGTTGGACGCTGGTAAGTTTGCCTATGCTCCCTAAATTAGAAATATTTCATTTTCATTCTCTTGGGTTCTGAATGGAACATAGAACCTGAACAATACATTTCAATTTCATCCCGTTCTCTGCAAACATCTTTAGATGGCATCACAACTGCCAACAATCTGTTACCTCCCGCATATTGCCCTTAGATCAGTGCCAAACTAACCGATCGCCTCCCATTCAGATTCCACTCGAGGGCATGGCCAGAGTGTGTGACGTTACCCGACGGTCTTTTTAGCATGTGTCCGATCCATCTCCAATTCCTTCGGCATATATTTGTTGGGTATTATGTTCTTGGTTGGTTTTTTTCCCGATCTTCAGTATTGAGCTAACGAAGGTAGATGGTAGAAGGTAGATGAAATCCTGTAACCAATCAATCAAATCCCTACAAACCAATTCTTGAATATCAATGAGATGTGCTCACTGGCGACTGGCCCTATTCAGGTAGATAGTTACCTGGGGTTCCAGTGGGAAGTCGTGACCAGTAGGGTGCAGCATGTCGAGTGTGAGGACAAATACTCGCCACTAAAGACATTGGCAAGCGGTTGCGCTATATCGTGAATTGGCAGAAGTTAGAATTCATGGGCCAGTGGCTTGATGGTATGAGAGCTCGCCTTGTAACCAGAAGGTCCTGGGTTTGAACCCTGGTGGCGGGTGCATACTGATGAAGAGTCCCAGACTAGGATGAAACAGCTGGATGTCCAGTACTCCCTGGTTGGTTTTCCAGTGGTTCTCTAACCAATGTCAGCTCATGATGAAATCCTGTAACCAATCAAACAAAATCCCTACAAACCAATACTAGAGGGTAGATGTGTGTTGATGAGTCTACAGTCTCTTTTGGAAACGCTTTTCTTGACACATGTTCGAAGTCTATAAAACCATATAGAGAAAGAAGCATTGACTACTGACTTGACATTAGTATTAAACATTATGATCTTGTAATATTGAACATAAATTGTCCACGAAATTCAAATCTCTTAGAGTCTTCCTGTCAGCCCAACTTTTATTCCTATCTTTTCGCTGATCCACCGCCTGCAACATGATCTAGTCTACGACAGACAATCAGGAACATCATGTCATCAAAATGATAATGAAACTATAACTGACCTGATTGGCAATCCTCTCGCCTTTTCATCAACTATATGTATTAACTGTACAGAGCTTTAAAGTGAATTTACGAGAAAGAAGTATTTATTCTTTGAACTGAGGCATATCTTTTTGATTTATATCATTATTATTATTCCCTTGAGTTCCTAGTGGAACATAGGGCTTCGAATGCACGCCTCCACTTGCTTCTGTCTTCTGCTGTACTTTTCACCTGCATCCATGTTAATCCATACTGTTTCAACTCTTCTTCACACGATCTCCTCCATGTCACCCTTGGACGTCCCACTCGCCGCTTCCCTTCCAGGTTCCACTCGAGCTATGGCCTGACGTGCGATGTCACCCAGCGGCCTCCTCAGTTAGTGTCCAATCCATTTCCACTTTCTCCTGCATATTTGTTGGGCGATTGGTTCTTGTTTCGGTTGTCCCCATAGTTTCTCTTTGGTGATTCTTTCCGGCCATCTGATCTTCAGTATAGATCGAAGACAGTTGTTGATAAAGGTCTGCAACAGGCTGTTGGAAATATTCTTTGTGACCCGCCGCCAACTTTCTGATCCATCCGTATAGAAGAACTGACTGACTTGACGTTTGTATTGAAAATCCGAATCATTTTGTTGTTGATGCTGAGTAGTTGAGTGAGGAAGATTTCCAGATTGGTTTCAGGTTGATGAATGTGTTTCTCGCCTTACCGATTCCCGATTTATGTCATACTTATTGGTTATTTTTTTTTCATTCCCACCCCCCCCGTTCTGCTCAAAAGGATATGCAAAACTCTCGTGGACGTCCAAATGATTCACCATTATGGCATTTTGTATGTCAGCATAATTATGATCCCAAATCACCAATATTTAAAGAAGATGAATGCCGACCAGATCGACATATATTACACGAACAAGCACAAGGTATTTTTGGTGGTGGCGGTGGTGTATGTTAGGAGCTAGTGGTAGCGGTACAAGACATGCTTCATCAACAGATCATTTAGGCACTGGTACATCATCTGTGAAAGATATACTGAAATTTAAATCATTTCTTAAATGTCAACGACAACAACAACAACAACACAAGCAACAATCACAAAATTATCAACGTCAACAAAGAAGACGACAACAAGTCGATGAATATCAGCAGGAACAACCACGACAACAACAACAACAAAACTGTCGTCATCATCATTTACATCCAACGGAAAATGAAGAGGTTGAAAATTCAATGAATAATAATAGCACATTTAATGTTCAACAGGATAAAGGAGATGGTAGTAGTAGTAGTATTGATGAAAATGTTGGTGGTGACTGTCGAAAAATCATCATTGGTCATGCAGCTGATGATAACGATGACCATGACCATAGTGATGAAAATGAAGACAAGTATGTATGCAGTCGAATTTCAGAGTCAGTAAGTTTCAAAAATATTTTATTTTTTTTTGTATGCAGAAAATATGCTGATTTAGATGTGCTATTTATATATGAATGAATGTGACGCACATCGGTGACACAGAGGTAGAATTCTCGTCAACCACGCCTCATTTGGTCCGGGGTTCGATCCCCGGCGCCACCCACGCACTTCTTTGTCTCGCGCTAAGTCAGTAGTAATAAGACTGGTAAAGAGGGAAGGTTGGCTAGGCATGAGGCTAGCTAGCAACCGCATCCCGTTAAAAAAATAAACACCCCACTGCTACCGAAACACCAAGCGTCTCTAGCTTGAAGGCGTCTTATGTTCCAGCACTGGGAACGCAAAGGAATATAAATCCTAGACAGCAACGTGTGAGATCTGGAGTACGGATGTCAGTCTACTTATTAACGTTCCCTTCATCTTTCATTTTATAACTGAGAAATGACGCCTTGAAAGTAAACAAAAATTAGAGGTTTCACGATCGTATTTTTACTCCCTTTCAATCATACAAGGTAGCACATGACAATTATGGTGATAAGTGCTGCTGGTATTAAATGCAAACTTTGCGCCAAACAGGGTTGGTCATACCAGTCGATTAGGTGATGCGCCTGCCTAAAACTTAGGCTACCGAAAAGTTCTATGTTTTGTTTCTTATTGCATATATTTTCTCCGGTTCGGTTTGTTTTAATTGATTAAAATACCAAAGCGCAAATGAACAGAAACAACCAGTCACGACTATGGTTACCAGTAGAGAATTCTAAAACCTCACTTCAACAAATTTAAGTATGCATGGAGGATTTCATCATGAGCTGACATCAGTTAGAGAACCACTGGAAAACCTGGTAGTACTGGACAGCTGTCTCACCCTAGTTTGGGACTCTTCATCAGTACGTACCCACAGGCAGGGTTCGAACCCAGGACCTTGAGCCACTGGGACCCGATCCAATGGTTCTTGAATTCTAACTCAATGCTCTACGAGCTCGCCTTGTAATCAGAAGATCCTGGGTTCGAATCCCAGTGGGTGCGTACTGCTGAAGAGTCCCAAACTAGTGGGATGGAACAGCTGTCCAGTACTCCCAGTGGTTCCCTAACTGATGTTAACTCATGATGAAATCCTCCATGCAATCAAACAAAATCCCTACAAAACCAATACTTGAAAATTTAAATATGCTCTGGGGAGGATGTTGCCTAATAAGGCAACTTTCTTCTGTTTTCTGCCATCCTCTTCAGCTGGGTCCACGAATTGCCCATAATGTCTCACCTCTTCCTCACACAACCACCTCCATGTCACGACCCACTCGTCTCTTCCCATCGGGATTCCACTCGAGCGATGGCCTTCATTGCATGCCATATCATTCGACGGTTTCTTCAATGTATGCCCGATCTGCCTCCATTTTCTCCCACACATTTGTTCAGCGATTGGCTCTTAGTTGGTTTGATCCCACGGTTTCTTTTTGCTGATTAATTCTGGCCATTTGATCTCCAGTATGGAGCCAGCAAAGGTGGCAGCTGTTGATGAAAGTTTGCAACAGGCTATTGGAAATCCTTTCCGTGACGGGTGCGCAGTGCAAGTTTCTGACTCGTATAGAAGGAAGGACCAACTTGACATTGGTGTTGAAAATCCATTTCTTGTTCTTTGTACTGGCTGAGTGAGTGCAGAAGATTTCTAAACTGGTTTCAGGTTGGTAAAGGCGTATCTTGCCTTTTCAATTCCAGCTGGTGTTGATATCATCCGTTCTGTCGCCTGTAGTTGAAACAATGCTGCCTAGATAAGTGAAGGAGGTAACCTCTGTTAAATCTCTCCCGTTGATGGTGATTGGTACTGGTTGTTGTTGTTGGTTGGTTATCTTCATCACCTCCGTCTTCTCTATGTTCACCTGGAGTCCCCTGTCCACACTGCCAACCAGCTTCTTCCTCAACGCATGTGACATTAAACATAAATCATCCACGGACAAAATCCAGATTTCGTAGAGTCTTCTTATCGGTCAGTCCAGCGTATTCCTGACTCTGCGCTCCCCACAATCTGACGCATAATCCATTCCACCACAATTAAGAATATCATCGGTGATAATAGGCAGCCTTGTCTTACTCATGTATTCACTTCGAACGGCTCCCTGAGTTTTCCATTATGGATCATCTGGCACCAAGTGTTGAATGAGGTTGATAAATACTTGGCCACTGCACACCGTAGTGTTGAAGTAGTTCCCAAATTACTTCTCGGTCAACACTGTCTGTCGAAGTCGATGAGGCAAAGGTTTGACTGCCACTCTGTGCTTTGTATGTATGTATTTAACTGTAGAACCTGATGAAGGGTATGCTATCTTTGCTTAGTGATCAATCTTTTGAAATTTCTAACCAATTATTATCATTTTTTTTCAAATTTCTCCCAAATAAGCCAAACAATCCTACAACTCCGACTATGCTACCTGAAGAGTCGACGACTACAACCCGACAGAATGGTGATTCTTTCTCTGCATTGAAGGAGTCTTCATTAAATGTATGAAATGTAGTATTCTCAAAAACTGCATCTCTCCTCATTGGTCTCTTTCTGTACTCCCTTTCTCTCTCTCACTCTCCCTCCCTCTTCATTGGCATTGTTCCACATCACTTTCATCATGGTGCATTTTCTTCTCTTACCCGATTTTACACACAGTCACATCATGACATGTTTTTTACCACTGACGTGTAATCCTCCTCTACTGCCGCCTTCTTTTCTCTGCTCCTATGGTTAAGTGTAGTGATGTTCCTCATCAAGTTTGACTGTAACTATTTTTTTAAAGATATATACGCTAAAAAAATGAACCTGTTTTCCTTTCGCCTTGATCTCCCTTTAATACTTCCTTCTACTCACAATATTGTACACACACACAGATTCACCTGTATGCATGCAACTTTTAATTTATTGTTCTTAAATAATAAATTGAATTACTGAAACAACTTATAAATTTATGGTAATGCGCTTGTGTTTTTTTTTTCACGTTGATTGATTGGACAGGAATGTGTTCGACCTTTATATGTTGACAGGTCAGCTCCTAGCAAGGGAGCTTCAACAATGTCTGAGTATTATTGTAACCACAGAAGACAAGGGCCAGGCAACAGATCGTTTATTCAGGAAAATCAACACATGCTTATAGATTTTCATGTACATTATTATAGATTATTGTAATCAAACAAACACAGTCTTCTGATTGGTGGTTTCTCGCTGAACGTTAATCTTTCATCTCCTTGTGGCTGTTTACTGAAGTTCAGATTATCTATCTGCAAATTGTATCCGCCTACGCAAAGTCTGCTGTGATTGGTTGTTGAGTCAGTCTTTGTTCTTATTTTTCTCACGACCAATATTGGGGACGTAAACATTGAAGTAAATTACTGTCTACCAATTTTGGCTAGCAGACAGCTCTCACCACATTACTATTATTATTACTGTTTCATTGAGTTCTGAGTGGAACATAACATAGGGCATCAACACTTTATCCTACTCCCTGAGGTTCCCCTTTAGCTGGGCCTGACGATTACCCATAGACTCTCACCTTCTCCTCGAACGACTTTCTTATGACCCGTTGCACAAGAGGTGGCTCTCGTGGATAACGCTTTGGCGTTTGAAAACTATGGGCACTGGATTCGAGCCTCGGTGGGAACATCATCACTCACTGGGAAATGCAGGTACATTCAGTGACGAGTCCCAAATAGGACGAAATGAGCGTTATCCTGGATTCCACTGCTAGTCACCATCCACCAATTAACAATACAAAATGATCTGCTTTATTCCACAAACAGTACTTATAGTATAGCATGGAATGAATTTTCAGCATTTGTGACAATATTGTCGATACAGCATGGAAATTTTAGCATGCTTTATAGAATATTGAGTCTAATATTCTCTTGACATAGCAGGGTGAAGGGAAAAACAACCATTGGAGCTGCGCTTGCGGTGGAGCGTCTTATATCAGCTGTTGCTCTAGGAACTTGATTTTCCGTGCTCGCTCGAGAACATCTCCCCCTGTATGGCTAAGTAAAGGTATAGTAAAAACCATCATCAACAGTTTGATATTAGACCATCTGGTCCAAACTTGCCATAAAGGAGGCAGCTAGCATTGAAGAATCCTTATCTATCACCATCCACCAGGTGCCAAATAAATTGCCACTGCTAGTCACCACCAACCGAATAAATTCTAATTAAATACCCAGACATCGTGGAAGCATCTGAAGAACAAGAAGCCGACATGTCAACCATGAGACCGAGCATTTCGGTCCAATCAATCGACGGGTAAATCTAAAATTCAATTAAGTCTTCAACTAATGATTCTCAGAATGACTGTGGATGCCAGCTTAACAACAAAAACATTCACCTCCCGACCCCACGTTATGCGAGTGAATGGAATAGTCAACAACTCTCATGCTACATTTCTCTGTGACCACTAACCCTGTAACAATAAAAGACAAGGGTCAAGCAACAGATCCTTTATTAAGAAAATCAAAAGATATTTATAGATTTTTATGTACATTATTGTCAGCGGAGAAACAACCTCTCCTGATTGGTTGTTCCCATGCTTAAGGTTATTCTATACTGCGTGTGACCGTTTCTCAGAAATTTAAGTCATATATCTGCGAATCGTTAAGCCTGCTGTGATTGGTTGTTGAGTTCCTCAAGGTTAAGCTTTGTTATTGTTTTTTTCTCTCATGCCTCCGATTCGGGACGTAAACATTGTTGTCTACAATTTTGGCTTGTTCGCAGCCAGCTGTCACACTACGACCCTAACGATGCCAATCGATGCAGCGTCTGCATTGATTCTAACCCTGCTCATCAACTCAGCAACACTCAACACCAAATAACACAGACCATATAAACATTTTCGTCAGCATAACTTCACTCTTACTCTCTAATTCTCACCTAGACTTTAATAGGGTGTGTGCGTGCGCGCAATGTTAGCTGATATAGGATCAGGCTGGAAAAGAGATAGATAGTGGCGGTCAAACCAAAACATGGCACCAGTCAATGAAATCCACAACAGTTAGCTTAAGCCACGTAGGAAGGTGTAAACTTCCTGGTTGGGGTCCTCGAAACCGGTAAAAACCAATGGTTGGAAACAATTGGTGACATGGCTCAAAATCGTTCTCAATGGCTGGTGCAGATGCATCCACTCCTTGTGACTTATGATTTCCGATGAAACTGTTTTATTCTTCGTTATTACTATTTCTTTGTCTCACACCTCTGTTTACTCTCTATATTATGCATTTCTTCTACTTTCTTCTCTTCCTTTGTGTGCTACAAGGAGGGAGTGTGGCGACTTGAACTACCGCACATATGTGCAAAGTTCTATGTCGAAAACCGACCGACCGCGTGTGTGTGTCCCGTGTATTTCTGTCAACAAGCTTGAAGCCTAAAAACCCTTTTATAACATAGAAAAAACAACAAGTCAAGTTCAAGACGAAAAGAATAACCAGAATTTCTGATTTACTCATTTATTTATTTTGTTGTTTAAAAAAACATGCCAGAAAAAAACATTGTGTCCCTATGATGACTACAATTCACATATCTTTCATACACATATTACTTATATACATGCCTACATACAACGTGGTCACTTGAAATATTATTATTCAAAGAGAAGATGGATGGATGGAATTTTTTCGCATTCATTAATAAATTAACAAAAGTTAACTAAAATGAAAATATTAGCAGTAATTATAATAGTAATAATAATTATAATAAATAAAATACTCATGACAGAGAAACAAAGAATTGCAGCAAGGACAAAGAAGAAAAGAGTGGAGGAAAGAATTACTACAAAAACACTTAACTAGACAAAGGAGGTGGTGGGCGGTGTTGTCATGATTTCTTTCTTTTTTTTGCAAACAAACCGCCAGCCGCTGCCGCCGAAACACGATCATGATGATGATGTGATCACCCATCCCGCCTTATAGAGAGGGGAAGATACCCTCAATGGTCAACTTGTGCGTATTCATCATATTGTCCAGCCCGAAAAAATATACAGGGGAGAAGAGACGAGAAAGCGGGGGCGGAGAGAGAGAGAGTAGAAACCCAGCGGAGTATGGGGTATTAGAGAGTATACCCCCCCGAAAAGATATGGCAAGAATTGAAAAGTAATTTTTTAAAAAAAGGATAAATAGAGGCAAGAGGAGGTTCCCAGTTTATCAGCAGCAGGACACACTTACGTCATCATCATGACCATAGTTGCCTAGTTACCTAACCCCCGCTCTCTCTCTCTCTCTCCTGACCTACTTATACATATATATAAGGAGAGAGAGAGGAGGGGGGCGGGTGACAATATAGAAACCAAGGCGACAGATTTATGTAACAATGTTGTGTTGTAAGAAAGTGTCCAATTGTGAAGGTATAAATGTATGACACACGCACATGAACACTGGGTTTATAAAACATTTTTGTATTTTAGAAAATAAAGAGAGACAGAAAAAAAGAGGAAGAATGAATGAACACTCCTCATGGATTGTTGTAGTAAAAAGGGCAAAAAAGCAACACGTCAAGGGAGAAACAGACACATAAACAGCTACATAGATAGATGAATGTGCAACACAACAACGCATAGGTAAAAAAAATAAAAACCAAAAAAAAGCAACTGATATTATTCGGTATAATAATAATAATAATAATAATAATAATAATAATAATAATAATAATAATAATAATAATAATAATGTGATCCATATTAGTAATATACCCTGTTTAGCCCATAACACTAACGATGATTAATAATTTGCGATCGGACTACTAGATCAGATTGGGTTTGGCTGGTTATTTTAAAACACCACTGCACAATCATAGTAATAATGATAATTCACAAACACATCGTAGGAGGGTGGGGATGGATGGACGGATGAATGAAGGATGCTGGTGACAAGGCACAGTACTCTACTCTCATGATTGTTTCTACCTATCATAATAATAATAACAGCAGTATGAACGGTAACCGGATATTGGAAATAATAAAATACTGATGGGCGTAAAGAGGGGGGGGAGAGGGGAACATAACTACTAACAAAATGGGATTCTTCTTCACATTATTGGAGGTTTTGAGTTTTGAGGCGCTTAGTAAGTAGAGGTGATTTAGGAAGTATGAATGAACAGATGCATAGATCAGACAAGTGAAGACATGTAGAGAGGGCAAAGGACAGGGAGGGGGAGGAGAGAAAAACTGGCGATTGATGATTGATACAGCAGGTATATATATAGCTGACAGTTAGTGTGTGTGTATCACTGTGAGTGATGATGAGAAACAGGTTGGAACGAAAAAAAAGAATAGCGAACAGCAGAGAAGGCTGTTAGAGACCAGTTATTTTTTCTACACTCTCATTTATCATCACATTAGCCTGCATACACAAACACACACACGCATAAAGAATTGTAAAAACCATATTTGACATTCTAATCGATTCGTTCGACTTTAGCAACAATTTTACCCTCCCACAATGGTAAAATAGCATCTTCATTGGTAATCTCTTGATGAACTACACCGGAGTCGAATTCATCAGAGGCTTTTTTGAAAAAGTATCTTGAAAAGAGCGGAAAAAATCGAGATAAAAACACAAGCAAAAATAAATATAAGCACAGATGAGTGATCAAAGTAGATGTCTTTTCATGTGTGTGTGTGTGTGGTTGTGTGTATTTCTCTTACAGCACACAGCTGAGTGGGTGGGTTTTTGGGTGCGGTTTTAATTGCGAAGTTTTCGTTGAAGTAACTGCCAACCACAACACTCTAACTGAAGGAAGACGGTTGGGTCTAAAAGTACTCAATATATACGTATATTTTAAAAAATCAACTACGCAATTAAACAACCACCACCACTCACCCACCCACCTAACTGAGAGAGAGAGAAATACAATCACATAGTGTCATTCAATAAACCATTCACCAATATCATATAATGTAATGAGGGTGGTGATACTTACTTTGTTTGTCAAAA